CGGGAGCGCGAGCCGCGGACCGCGCCGCTGCAGAACCGAGCGAATCCTGAGCCCGGGCAGCAGGTATGTGTTCTCGCAGCCGGCCGCGGCTGGGGTTTCCTCCGCCTCGCTGCCTAGGTCCTGTGGCCGGGGCGGGCGGTCAAGGTTTGCAGGGTGCGTGCTCTGAAGGGCTGGGATCTTACCGCTGACCTTCATCCCCGCCGGCCGGGGGGAGCGAGCGTAGGTGCGTGGGGCAACCCAGGGCTTCAGCTCCAGACTGGGGACCTGCTTCTTGTCATATGCTTCTTATTTATTTTTTGCAAACTGCCCTGGTTCGGGTCCAGCTGCAGATGCCTTACCTTCCATTATTTGCCTCTGTGTGCCATCTTGCATTTATTAATAAAACATGCAAGCGTGTGTGTGTGTGTGTGTGTGTGTGTGTGTGTGTAGGGGGGAGGTTGCTGCTGGGGGGAATCCCATTGCAGTATGTCAAGCGAGCACCTATTTTTGGTTTTCAGACGTGGTTTGGAGGTGGAAATCCCACACCCTGGGGATTTGTGGCTTCGTTGGTCGTGACCACTTCCTAGTGGGCTTCCCCCATTTGTCGGGAGGCACCACAGTGCCAGGATGGGATGTCAGGAAAGGATGGTGGGTTTTCACTGTCAGGCCAGATTCCGTTCAGGGACAGGTACAAGCTACAGCAGACAGTTGCTTGCTTGCTAACTTGCCAGGAAGGCTTAAACCCAGAAAATTGTTCCCGGTGATTGCCAAGAGGAGGCCTTGAACAGAATCCCCAAGACTTACATACTGAAACTCATTAAGATTTTGCTTCTGAAGATGATTAAAGCTAGCCACCTGTTGGAAGTCAGACCATAACCCCCACCCCCCACCCCCAATGATCTAGCTCACCAATTTCTGTTGCACAGTCACCAATACTGAGATAAGGACAGGCCCATATTGGTTCCTTCTATCTTCCTTAATGCTGTTTGGCTCTTGTTTCTTTGAAAATAAAACCTACCTATGATTTGATAGCCCATATATTATAGACTGAAATTATATGATTTGTTTATATTCCATACACCTATAACATCATATCCTAAAGAGTGAATTTCTCTTCAATGTGTATGTTATCAATTTCCCTGGCTTTTCACCTTGCTTTTGAGCAACAGTCCAAAAAGTGAGGTATATGTAACTGCTTACCTTTCTTTTCTGTTTTTCAAAATGTTGTGGTAAAGCAATAGTTAGAGCTAGAAGTACAGAATGAAATTGGTCATCACAAGATGTTGGGAAATGGCAGCAGGACTGTAACTGCTTCTAAAATATGGTCAGAGTACCACACCTAATCGTGAGAAGGACCCATTTCTTCATTGTTCATATATGCCAGATACTGAGCTACAAGCTGTTCATGGATGATCTCACTTAATCCTCACAGCAAACCAGTTATCTCCATGTTGAAGATGAAGAAGCTAAAACAGAAAGGTTAGCTAACTTGCCCAAGGTCACACTGTCAGGGACCGGTTAGGATACAAATTCAAGTCTGATTGCCAGGAGTAGGGGGTCTGTGTTTTCATTAAGATCAAGCTTATGCATGAGCACACAGACTTGGATTTGATTTTCCATTTCATAGATTCCACACCAACTTTTGTGGCTTTCCAATAAGATAAATTGTTTCAGAATGAGTGTGTGTGGAATTTTTTTATGTGAGCCTATAAAAAAACAGAGACCAAGGTTTGCTTCTGTTGAACTCTCTGAAATAAGCAAGCAGTTAAATGCAAAAAGTTGTTCCATCCACATTTAAACCTTCAAAACGTATAAGCATCAGGTAGAATGAATCACTCATATTTTTCTTTATTACATCCTACCCTAATCTTCTTGCTGACCTGCATACTCTCCTCCAGTCTCACTGCTAGTCATAAGAGCGACATTGCCTATTACACTTGGCATGTGAGCACCTGAATGGGGCGAAGGAATCCATACCAGCCAGTGGCCATCAGTCATTCAGTCTCTCTATAGTGGTCGCAATTATTCATTTGAAATTTTTCGAATTTGTGCATTCCACTGTATACATACATTTAATTTTTTTTTACAAGTACATAATTACTATGGAAGTAGTGGGTATTGCTACACGTTCCTAGCCGTTCTCACTGGTCTAGTAGAAATTGCTTTAGTTATATCAATAAAAATTCACCCAATGGGACTACTAGCTTTTGTACTCAGGTCACATATTTGAGATAGTGACGAGAAAGATGTAGGTAAGTACGAGGAATTATTTGAAGATTATATCCCATGGAAAAGCCATCTTTTAGTTACAAATTGATCAATCATATTAGGTAGGACATATAGACTGTCCTTTGTAGAATTTATAAGCTCGGTTGTCCTCTTGAGGTTATATGAGTAGTTTTAGAGCACGGTGATGTTACTTTTTTTCATCATACTGTGTTCTGTAAGGAGTAAAGCAATTTGTGTAGCAGTGTTGACTGACAAAAAACACTTTGAGTTTTGGAAGCGTGCACGGGGCCGTGCGCACACACACACACCCTACCTCCCACCCCGCAAGCCTATGGAAATGCTGAGATAGAGTCTTTCTGCCCCGGGGATTTCCAGTCTCTGATCAGATAAACTAGCATTTATCGATGAGTCCCGGTGTTACTGGTGAAGACAGAAAGTAAGGAGAGGTTCTTTCTCCATTTCTGGGGAGGAAATGGGTGTTCCTATGGAGCACATCATTACCTTGTTTAGTAGGAAACCTCATAATTGAAAAGCATCCGAGAAGTCAACTAGTCTACTCTCTCCCATCTAAGCAAGATTCATTTAATGCAGAGCTAAGCACCTTCTTTGGTGCAGAAGTCAATTCAGGGAATATAAGAATGTTTCTGGACTACATTTACTCCCCCCCCCTTGAAATGTATATATATTTAATCTGGGAAAAAACATGGGCAAATATGGATACTTACACATTTTTTTTTTCCCCAATCAAGATTTGGAGCAGGGGAGTCAGGAGAATGAGCTAATTTATTTCCGAACTCTCTAACTAGCATGCATAGTAGTGTCTGATTGTAATGCACATTTGAATACATTATTGAGTAAGACACTGGGAGCTGGTGTATTTGTCTTTCCTTGGCTGACCTTGTAAGCTACTTAGTTCTGAAATGTGGTTTGTCTTTATAGGAGCTCTTGATTTAGTATTCTTTAAACTGAGATTTTTTTTGTTCAGTATCAACAATCTTGAATCACAAAAGAAGTTCGCAGTCAGCTTACTTTGACATACTTGATTTTCTTTGATCTCTTTTTCTCTTCTTGGTTTTAGCCTTAACAGAGGTTTCAATTTTATTTAAAAAGTAGTTTACAACCTATGAGTTAACCCATCCTCTTTCCAGACTGAATCAGTCAGAGTTCACTGATATTGGCCAGGAATATCCATCACATGACATCCTGTGGTTCAGGTCTCATCCAAGAACCCTATAGCTCCTTTTGCTCCTTTTTGCACTCAGTTTCCCCATAAATAGAGTTCCCGAGTTGTGCAAATTGTTAAGTGCTCAACTACTAAACAAAAGGTTAGTGGTTCAAACCCTTTCTATGGTACCTCAGAAGAAAGGCCTGGCACTCTGCTTCTAAAGGGTTGTAGCCAAGAAAACCCTGTGGAGCACAGTTCTCTGCACGCTTGGTATGGCCATGAGCTGGAATCCACTCAATGGCAATGGGTTTGGTTATTTTCATTTTCTTCCCCCATATAGAAGATACACGGTTTCCTAAAGTTAGATCACACTAGGCAGGCCTTGGGTGGGTGGTAGGATGGTGGCTACTCAGTACTGATGTAGGGCAGGGCCAGAAAATCACCTCTCCTACATCAACTTTAGCCTGTCTTGTGATTTCTATTTGCAGATGTAATATGTGTTCACTGAAGAGTAAAAACAGTACAGAAATATAGGATTGAGTGGTCAAAATCTTCAATAATCTCACTCCTCAGCAATGATCACTATTAACAATTTAGTATGGATTCCTCCAGGTTTTTGAAAGCAGATACTAAAATGTTGTTGTTTGCCAGCAATATTCTAATATATGCATACTGTTTTGCAGTTTGTTTTCTTGTGTTTGGTAATATATCCTGAACTTCTTGGAGGGCCTTGAATGGCATTCTTCTTTTTTTAAAAAAAAACCAAGAACAGTTGCTATCAAGTGAATTCTGACTCATGACTACCCCGTGTGTTTCAGAGTAGAACTGTGTTCCATAGAGTTTTCAATGGCTGATTTTTTTCAGAAATAGACCTCTAGGCCTTTCTTTCAAGGTATCTCTGGGTTAGACTCAAACCTCCAACCTTTCAGTTTGTAGCCAGACATGTTGGGCCTGTTAACTGTTTGCACCACCCAGGGATTCAGGCATACTTCTAAACCAAAACCAAGCCAAACTAGCTGCTGTCAAATCAGATCCAACTCATAGTGACCCCTCCTTGGGTTTGTGAGGTGTTAGGAGCTCTGGTGGCATAGTGCCTAAGGCATTTGACTGCTAACCAGAAGTCTGGTGGTTCAAACTCACCAGCCACTCCTCAGAAGGAATGGGGTGATCTACTTCCATAGTGATACTGCTTTGGAAACCCAAGGTTGGATCTGACTTGATGGCCAGTGAGTTTGATTTTTTTGGTTTTATCTCTACAGGAGTAGATTGCCCAATCTTCCTTTCAAGGAGTGGCTGGTAGGTTTGAACTGCCATCCTTCTGGTTAGTAGTCAAATGCCTTCTGCTCCAGTGGGAGCTAGATGAAAGGAGCCTCTTAACCAGGGAAGAGAAGGAAAACTGATGTTGGATAGAAACTGGCTTGTGCCATGCTCTGGGGTAAGCAATTTCATATTCCATATCTCCTTTAACCTCTTACATTCACCCTTTGTGCCAGCTATTGACAGATAAAGGGTACATGATATAAGGAGCCAGGCTGAGATTCAAACCCAGGCTCATGTGGCTCAAACTCTGAACTCTTTCGCCTGTTACCACTGTGATCGTGGATAGAAAATGATGCTTTGCCCTGTGTAGTTCTCTGATCTCCATCCTACTCTGCTCCACATACCCTGGCCTCCTTGCTGTTTTCCTGCT